AAAGACGGTGATTCTCATGGACCCTTGGTGACAGAGGAGTTGAAAGTGGAATTAAGCCGGGCGGTGGTGGCACACGCCTTTAATCTCAGCACTTGGGAGGCAGAGGCAGGCAGATTTCTGAGTTCGAGGCCAGCCTGGTCTACAGAGTGAGTTTCAGGACAGCCAGGACTACATAGAGAAACCCTGTCTTGAAAAACCAAAAAACAAAACAAACAAACTAAAAAAGTGGAACTAAATATTCAGAACTGGTGGTCCTGATCACTCAACACCAGTCACATGCAAGCAGATATCCAGGTACAAGCTGAAAGACCTCAGCTCTGCTATCTCTTGTCCATGTATCAAATTGGAGGAACGAGGCTTCACATTCTGAGGAGAGCAGCAAAGACAAATGAATCTGCCTTGCTTCAGCCATCAATAGCCAAAACAGGGTTTAGGGTTTAACAGTTAAGTATACCCTAGCTATTTTGGTAATATTTAAACCTGCTGATGTTACTGACACTTTGTTTTTTGGGGGAAAAGTTATACAATATATTTTGATCATATACTTTACCCATTCCCAATTCTTCCTAGATCCTTCCCACCTCCCTACCCATGTCTTCCATAAAAGAAAAAAAAAATCAAAATTAAAAAACTGAAAGATAACAAATACCACAACAAAACATAAAGCACCCCCCCAAAAAATTCTCCAGAGTCCTTTTGTGTTGGCCAACTGTTCCTAGATATGAAGGCTGCCCTGAAGTGTGGTTGGAATGCCTTGTGTAACTCCACTGAAAAAAACCTGATCTTTCCCTTTCCAGCTAGGTACTAACCGCAAGCAGCTTCTGGTTAGAAATAAGACTTTGTATCTGCCCCCACCCCATTTTCCATGCTGGCATTGTGTCTGGCTTAAACCTTTGCTGTCAAAGACTCTGAATTCATGCATGTATCAATCCCATCATGTCTGCAAGACACTGTTTCTTTGTAAATATCTATGATGAGCCTTAGGGGGAAGAAACTAATACAAATAAATCTAGTTACATAATTCACAGCAGTTATGCTTGATTGCTGCTCTTCTAGAGGACTAGAGAGAGTTCTCTTCTAAGCACCCATCTCAAGTGGCTCACAAGAGCCTTTGACTCCAGCTCTAGGGGATCCAACACCCTCTACCGGCCTCTGAGAAAACCTATACACACACAGTCATACTCACATGCACATAGAAATGAGGACAGAGAGAGTGGAAACACAAAAATGTATGATTTCTAACCGAGTTTCTCTTATAATTGAACATAGAACTAATTTAATCTACTAGCTCATCTTTCAGCTATGAGACATCTGCCACTTTTTCCCAATCCTGCACCAGCAGTGTTACAAAGATGAAAGAACAGAGTTCTAATTCAGTTTCTGTTGCTGTGATAAACACCACGCCCAAAAGCAACTTTGGGTAAGAAGGGCTTGTTTTGGCTTATACTTCCACGTTACAATCCATCACAGAAGGAAGCCAAAGCAGGAACTCAAGATGGGAACCTTGCAAGTCAAAACCATGAATCAGAAAACCATGTGGAATATTGTCTACTGACTAGTTCAGCTACTTGACATACATATGTCCAGGATCAGCATAGCCCATAGTAGGCCGTGCCCTCCCATAACAATCAAGAAAATACCCTACAGACAGGCCCACAAGCCAGTCTAATGGAAGTAATTCCTCATTTGAGGTTCCCTCTTCCCAAGGTGACTCCAGTTATGTCAAGTTCATAAAAGTTAATCAGCAAACAGATAACAATTCAGAGCAAAACAAGATATTTGTTGAATTAAGTAGACTCTTTGATTTGGCCTGTAATTATTCTAAATCAACTACAATGAGAATATATTGCCATTATAACCAGAAAATGGGTGTAGGGTGAGGTTTATGAAGACAGATGCTACATTTTCAACTTTTATTCAGAATCTTAGTGTAACAAAGTCTCCATTTTAATGTAGTTCTTGCCTCCTGGGAACACTGCTCAAGTGTTTTCGGAAAAATAAATGTTAAGACATTTTCTCATTCAAATGGGCAGGCTATCGTACATGTGGAATGATGTTTTCCTGTTTGTGATAGAAAGGGTCTTCTCTCTTTATTGTAGCTTAGTTGGCTATATAAGAACTGTCAGCAACATAAAGAAAGAAGCCAATGAGTAAACAAAAATTGATTAGAAAGCTTGCCTGTTCTAGAAGCCCCTCCCTCCAAATAAACATTTCTTTATCATGTCTTACCCTGGCTCCCCCCCCCCCATGTTATGGAATCCCCAAAATACTATAATTAGCGCTCTCTTAACATGAAATAGACCAACATGCTCACTGAATTCACTATTCCTACCTCAATAATTTCACAGTTCCTACCTCACAGGTGTTGAGTCATGACACAGACCAACACACTTGGTAAGTTCACTGTTCCTACTTTAGCCTAGTTTTGAGTTCACACAGACAGATGAGCAGGGTATCTCTCAGTCCTCAATCACTGAATCTCTTCAGGCAAAGAAACCCAGTATGATGACTTGCCCTATCAGAAATCAGTTTTTCAAACTACCAGTTGCATTACAAATGAACAGAATCATGGTTCTAACTGGCGTTGAGTCTCTCAATCTTGAGAGGATTTAATATCTCTAAACACTTTGAGAAGTAATTCTTGAACTGTGAAAAGTAACCGAGTCACATTTTCAGCGCGACACTGCCCCCTTGTGTAACTTGTGTTTGCTGAAAACTCACAAAAATGTAAAATTTTAACTCTCAGAGATAGTTCAAAGGAATCTAAGATACTAGAAAATAACCTTGAAACCTATCAAGACCAGCATGTTTATTTCACACTCTCTTACCATGAAATAGACCAGCATGTTCACTGAATTCACTGCCGCTACCTCGGTAAGTTCACTGTTCCTACCTCCAAGTGTTGACTCCTGACATGGGAGAATTGCTTGTTTAAGTTCATCCACTTCTGGCTACGGACAGAGCAAGGACTCTTGAATAGAATTCAAATCTCTCAAAGCCCGGGTGTAGTTGAGTGGTAGAGGACTTGCCTAGAACTCGCCTCTCAGAATGGAAAGAGAGACTTAATAGGACAGAAACACTGGGGTTGTGGAGTCCTGAAGATCAGAGTTTGAATATCAAATCGCTACTTCAAAACCTCCAAGCTTTAGTGCCTCATCAAAAAAAAAAAAAAAAATGGAATCAACTATTACAAAGATTTCCAAAGGGCTCAACAGAGCAGTGCTCACTGTTAGACCCTACACATATTGTTCCTTGGGATAGCTACTGCCATTGTCTGCTTGACTCTTCAGACTCACCTAGGAGACATATCTTCTAGTGTGTCTGTGATAAAGCTTCTAGAGAGTTAACTGAGGAGGAAAGATTCACCCTAACTGTGGATTTTGGAGCTCCAGAATGAATAAAATGGGGGAAAAGAGAAAAGGAGCTAGACGCAAGCATTCATCTCTGCTCCTTGAGGTGGAGGCGGTGTGACTAGCTGCCTGTTGCTCCCGCCTCCATAGCTAAAACACTTCTTGACACTATGCTTCCCCCAGTGATGAGCGGGGCCTTGAAGCTGTGAGCCAAAATGATTCCTTCCTTGAAATACAAGAAAAAAAAAATGACTGATGCAGACCTAAATACAGCAACGTGCTGACTGAAATATAACTATAAAGATATATCAGAATTTTATTCTAGTCATAACTGCAGTTTTGACTCTCCTGATGAAGACATTTACAATAAGGAAAATGGCAATAAATTGTAACGTTTCAGCAATACAGTAACACTTTGTCTCTTGAGACAAATAAGTCTTAACAGAAAACACCATACAACTGACAACGTGAGTGTGAGCATGAAGCAGCAACAGCACTCTTGGGTGAGCTTCAGAAGAAAGTAAGACAGAACCTCACTTCTGAAGTGATCCCAGTTACCTCCTACATCTTCCCTGTTGAGGGTTCTTTACTATGACAATATCCAGAGAGTCAGCCTGGAAAGACAGGCTGCAATTTAGGGGTTAGCTGAGGGGGTAATCTCAGCCTCCTTTCTTTAGCTGTAAAATAAAGTCCACCCTCTGCCGGGTCACACAAGGAGCCTTGAGAAAAGGACCATACAACTACTGGACTCAGTGTGTGAAGTTGTACTTGTCACAGTCTTAAGTTGAAAGTAATGATACACATTAAATCTGTCATCAAAATGAGAGATAAACCCAAAAATCAAAAGTTGAGAAGAAATGGTAGTGTGTCTAGTTAAACATCACCCAGGTCTCATGAAATCTATCTCCTCTTTCCTCTTTATCTCCTCGGCTTCTGATGGACAGTGCTCCACAAATTCCAGTGCCCCAGAAACCTTTGGCTCACAAACAAATTACTCACATGCAAATCCTGATAACAGGATGGACAACGTTTATCCCTGAGTATGAGACCCTAAACAAGAAGCTGCCACCTAGGTTAAAGGCAATGGTTTAAGAAAATTGTGATTTTTCATAAAAATGACTGGTATTGGTTACCCTCTGTTCAGCTACAGTAATCCACCCAGCAGACATTCTGTAGTGTAGTAAGATTCTCTGTTCTGTTTTCTTGTGGTCTGAAACACCAGTTAAGTCTTTAAACCCTAAAGGACAGCAATGTGACTGAGTGGACTTCTTTTCAATGAGTTACTAAAACTTTAACATTTGAATTTGGAAAGCATACACCCTTCTGGAAAGAAGCACTGAACAGTAAGCTTCAAATATTGACTGAACACTTCATATAAGCCCAGCCCCTCATATTGTTACAAACATTGGAAAGGTACATTAGTGGAGTCGACATGAGAAGAAACACTGAGCGACAGGAAGGAAGAACACCATTGCTGTTGTTGAGGAAGTGCATGATGCTGAAAACTGTGGGTCATGGATCCAGTGGAATTTTAAGATAAACTCAAGCGCTTGGTTCAACCCAACAATTAGGCCACATTTGCATCCAGAATAGTACAGTAAAAGTACTTTCCAAAAGCAGTCTCAGCTACATAAAAACGACACAGCTCACCATGAAACACACGGTTGTCCACCAGAAAATGCCTGCGGTACTGCACGCAGTTCCTCTTCTCGACGTTCCAGTAGCTCATTGTCGAAGGATTTCTGGCACAGCATCAAAATGAAATTGCCCTGTCAAGAGAGACAGAATGAGACAGGAATGAAGAAAACAGCAGCCACATGCTCAACGGGCAGCACACTGACACGTGTTGCCTAGCATTAGGGGCAATGCACGGGGCTACCATTTGGACAAGGACTCCTCCAGCCCATAATAAATTTCTCACAAAACTTCCAAGAACCTGAAAGCTATTTTTTTCCATACTAAAACTTACTCTTTCCAACAGCACCATTCTGAACTCTTACTGCTGTCTGCTGAGGAAATAAAGCTACTGTTAAGCACGCTTCAGGACTGTTTTTTGTGCTTCGGGCCTCACTTGCATTCCTCCAGGATCCCAAACAGTCAATACTGATCAATTTCTGCAGGTTTCCCTAGCAGGTGAGCTATCATTCTCAACTTCTGAATTTTGTGTTGGTGACATCCAGGTGGATTATGTAACCAACTCATGAAATGTTAGAAATGATTGCAAAGTTTAAGTGGGTACAATACGCCAAACCATAACAAAGTTTGCTTGCCTTCTTTTCCTTCATTGCAGCTGTTTATTTAGGGCCCCTAATCCTTGGATCCACCAAGGCTTACAGAAGCAACAAGAGCTGGCCAGGCCTCAGGCACAATGCACTCACAGACCCTGCAGAGATTCCCGCCTCTGCAGAGACCAAACACTTGAGAAGCAGAGATCTGAGCTGATGAATTGAGCTGCAAAGCCAATGTGCATGATCCTGAACAAGGCTGCCTTTGTTTACAAGATATGGCTAGTGACTTTTCAGAATTCCAACCTCTTTTCTGTTCACATAACAACACTAGAAAAATAAACAAAACAACAACAAGAACAACAGCAGCAGCATTTAAAAAAAAAAAAGCGAAGCTGGCAAGAAACAAAACCCACTGGTGGAAAACGTTTTGTCATCTGTCCTACTGTAACAGTCTACAGTTTTGTAAATGTACCCCAAGATGAAGCCAGTGGCATAATGAAAAAGGTCAGGTATCCAGAGTTGTCTGTCACTGGGACAGTGAATGGAAGATCCAGGAGCTTTGGTTTCTCCTTAAACTTCCACAACGGGGATCTTATCTCCATTCAGCCAGCTTGCTGCCCCACACAGTCCCGAACGCCCTCCCCTTCTTTCTACTTCATCCCTGCCAGCTTAGAATGATGTTCCTGTTCCTTAGGACTGAGGGAGTAAAGAAAAGCATGTGGAACCAACCGAGAGATGTGCTGGAGAACAGCTGACTACAGAAATAAACCTACCTTTGCCCTCCAAAGCCAACATTCATGTTATAAAGATGCCCCTTTCCCAAATATTTTTAGATATATAAATAATGTAGTTAACGGTGGAGAGGGAGAGTGTGGCTTATAAATAAAGCATGTGCTTAGAAGTATAGTGCCCTGGATTTATTATCCAGCAACACAGGTAAATTACAAAAATTAATTAAGCATGTTTTTTTTTCAAAACTGAAGTACTGAAAATCAGTTTTCTTTCCTGTTTTAGTATTCTCTTTCCTCATTGCATATTTCTCTCCTAGGATAACTAAATTTTTTTAATATTCACCATTCCAGCATTTTACCTAAATATATAAGTTTGAATTTCTCTATATTATTAGGGGCACTACCTTTTCCAAGAAAATAATTTTTAATAATTAACAGTAGTATCTCTAACTTACAAAATGTGTCTGTGTCACTTGTAGTGGATTCTGTTACCAAACAGAAAGGCCTACCTTGTCTGGCCTCAGTGGGAGAGGATTCCCCTAGCCTTGAAGAGACTTGATGTGCACAGGAGGGGGGAAGAAAGGAAGAGGGAAGAGGGGATGATGGGGGAGGGTCTGTGAGAAGTGGGGACTGAGAAGGGGGGCAGTGATTGGGATGTAAAGTGAATTTAAAAAAAAAAGACCCTATCTATAATCATGCTCATTTTCCCTTGCTAATTCAATTTTGTGGTTTTATTTGTTACTATCGGATTTTTGCCCCCTATGCTCATTCCTGATCCAAGGAAGAAGGTTGCAAAAGAGTGAGGAAATCCTAAGATGTTTATAGTTAGCAAAGCAGGTGCTCATGCAACCTTCTCATCCACGCCGTATTAATCTTCTGAGACAGGGACCGTTATCTCCTTCTACCACACCAAAGAAGAGAAGATGCTATTAGACTGCTTTGTTTATGCTTCCAGGAAAAGGCAGAAACACAACCTTCAGTCATATCTTCAGATTCCAAACACACGTTTCTAACCTCCATAGGCCATACAGGACAATGTGAAGGTTTCAAAAACGTCCTGTAGCCAGGCATGAGATTCCCTGCCTGTAATCTCAGCACTTGGAATGTTGAGTCTGAAGAATACTGTGTTTAAGATGAGCCTAGGGGTACATAACGAAATCCTGTGAAAAATAATAAATTAAGACAAAAAAAACTGTGGGTCTGTGTGGGTCTATGTGTGTGTGACATACAAATTCACAATGATTACAGCTAATATACTGGGTTCAGCGACTCCTTTCTAACAATAAAATCAGCTGACACTGATGTTAAATCTTTCAACATAAGAAAACTTAAAATGCCCTAGTCTGCTTCTTTGTGGCTGTGATTAAACACTGGCAGAAAACAAATTGTGGAAGAAAGGGTTTATTTTATTTGAGCTTACACTCTAGAGTCTGTCATTGAGAGAAACCAAGGCAGGAACCCAGAGACTACTTAAGCAGAGACCACAGAAGAATGTTCCTTACTGGCTTGCTTCTGCTCAGCTAGAAAGCCAGGGCCTAAGAGTGACACTAATCTACCCACAGAGGCTAGGCCCTCCATCAATTAGCAAATGCTGAAGACACGCACATAGGCCAGTCTGATGAAGGCAGTTCTTTGGTTGAGGTTCCCAGGTGTGTCAAGCTAACAACTGAGATCAGCCTCACAATAATAATAATAATAATAATAATAATGATAAGCATCCTTTACTTGATTCCCTCTCTCTTCAGCATGGAGAATTTAGCCATCCAGTTGTGATGGAGCCCTGGCTGAAGTATTCCAGCCACCGATATGTGCTGTGATCTCAACATCTGTATTCCCCAAGTTCATATGTGGAAATCTTTATGTGGTGATTTCAGGGGTGAAACATTGCGGTTCTACCCTCTGAAGAGCTCTAGCAGACCCAAGCATGGCAAACATGGTGCCAACGGGTTTTGTCTTTTACTCTTCTCCTTGCTAAAAAACATTAGATTACATTCATAATGCTAGCCCCCAAGATCCATCCCTTTATTGGGCCACTGACTCAATCCTGAAACAAAACACCAAGGTCCAAAAATCAAACTTTTTTATTTGGATAATATGTCCAATCAGGACTTACTAACTCATCCTAGCACCAACTTTCCCTTTTCTCCTTAAAAACACACTCTTGAGAAAAAAAAAAGAAGAAGAAGGAGGAGGAGGAGGAGGAGGAGGAGGAGGAGGAGGAGGAAGAGGAGGAAGAGGAAGAGGAAGAGAAGGAGGAGGAAGAGGAGGAGGAAGAGGAGGAGAAGAAGAAAAAGAAAAAAGTCTGCTTTTCTGTTTGCTTGCTTGCTGCTTCAATTATTGTTGTTGCTGCTGCTGCTTGCTATCTGCCTTTGCAGCCTCCACTGCTTGACCATCCAGGGAAATAAATCTCCTTTATGCTGAGAATTTGGTGTCTAGCGATGTCCTGTATCAATGAGGTAGGAAGGACGTCCCTTACACCCTCCCTGGGATTCCTGTCTTTTATGTAGGAGGCATAAGCGCTAGCCTACTGTATACATCATGTGAAGATACAGCAAGAAGTCAGTAGTCTGAAGCTGGAAAAGGGCCTTCATTAGACACCAAATCTAACTTGATCCTGAAATCCCTAGCCTCTAGAACTGTAAGAAGTGAGTTTCTACGGTTTGTAAGCCACCTTGCAGATGGCTATTCTGTTATAACAACTCAACTGGATTGACAGTATGGGAATAAATGAACAGGTAGTGGAGCCTGTAAAGTGCTAGCTCTCCAAACATGAGGTCCTGAGTTCAGTCCCCAGAACCCACATTTTAACAATACAAATCAGATGTGGTGTCAGGACATTTGTAATCCCAGGATTGGGGAGAAAGAGATAGGAAAGGGGATACTGGAATTTACTGGCCAGCTAGCCTAGCCTACCCAATGAGTTCCAGGTCAGTAAGAGACCCTGACAAAAAAAACAAGAGAGACAGCACCTAAGGAACACTTGAAGTTGTGTAAGCATGTGTATACGTGTGCATATGTGTGTACATACACACACATGCACTCACACAGAACTTTAGCTCCAACTAGATTTACAGTAGGCAGGCTACTACTCACTAAAGGAAGGCAACTGAAAGGGATGTCAAACAACATCTAAGCCAAACTTCTGATGAAACCAAAAGGAAATCAAGACCCAGAGAACATGTGTAACTTGCAAGGTAACACTGTTAGCTATTCAAAATGGCTGAAACCCACCTTCAGCAGCCCAGAGCTCTTTTGAATCTTTTATGGTCCTATTTGCATGAGCACAATAAAATTAACTTGGGTTGCACCTACTAGAAGCAAAGGTGCTTTTAAAATGAGTGACTTTGTTTTTAATCTTATTCTACATCTTACAAAATAGTCCACATCCTAAGGGGCCTATGTAATGTCCATGTTATACCTAGAACTCTGAATGAGCACATTTGTATATCATAGACTATGTAAATTCATTTTATGCATATGAGTATTTTGTCTGCATGAGTATTTTGTCACATGTGTCTGGCGTCTGCTGAGGACAAAAGAGAATATTAGATTCCCTGGAAAGGGAGTTATAGATAGTTGTGTGTGGCCATGGGAATGTTAGGAATCAAATCCAGGTCCTCTGGAAGAGTAGCCAACGTTCTTAACCACTGAGCCATCTTTCTAGGTCCTTGTGTTGATTTATTTTGTTATTATTACATTTATTGATTTATTGATTGATTGTTAGAGTTTATTTGTGTGAACACATACATGCCAGAAGACACATGTGGAGG